GCTCATGAAGCACCTTCCCCCACCCTCCAAGGACATGACACAAGCTTACAGCAAAACTCACCCCCTATCCCCTGATACCCCCTTCCCTCTTCTAGTGCTATGGAGAACCAAACTCCAGTCCGTAGAAGTTTGTTCAGGACTTTTCAGCCAGCTTGGACAAAGCCCTTCAGCAAAAGGCTTCCAGGGGGCTAAAACCTGGGAGCACCATCTCTGCAAAGGTCTGAACTGGCCCTGCTGGGAAAACAGACTTTGTACTGCCAGCACTGGGCCAGAGAACTGAAGCACAGAGGGACAGGGGGATTAGGCAGCACTCCACCAAGCCTGAGAAAAAGAACATGGCACCCAGTTGGGACAAGTTCTGACCACCCAAAAGCCAATTGGGGCAGAGACCTCGGCTGGTGAACTATTAATTGCCCAGTAATTATCAAAGATTTCAAGAAGAAGAAAATGTAGATACTTTGAACACAAACGGATAAATCAACAAGAAAAATGACATACTTTTAAAGAACAGTTAGTACCCTTACTTTCACAAATTATTTCCAAAAATTGAGAAAAAAGAAAACCTATGAGATAAATATAATCCTAATACCTAAACTGGGGGAAAGGTAAAACAAAGAAAGAAAACTGCAGGCCTATATCATTAATGAATGTTAACTCAAAATTTTAAATAAAATCTTGTCAGACTACAGCAATTTATCCAAGAAATCATTCATTGTGATTAAATGGGATTTATACCAACCATACCAAAGGATAACTCAACATTACGAAAACAATCAACATAATTAATCATATTAAAAACCAAAAACATTCCAAACCATATGGTCATCTCAGTAGATGCAGAAAATGCCTCTGACAACGTACGATACTCTTTTCTGCCCAAAAACCCTACAAAATATAGGCAAAGAGGGACTTTTAAAAACTACCATAAAAAGCATCTATCTAAAACCAAAGGCAAGCAGCATGTGCCATGGAACCCTTTCCAATAAATGCAGCGGTGAAGCATGGATGCCCACTTTCTCTACTATTACTTGATAGTTCTGGAAATACTAGCAAAAGCAATAAGACAAGAAAAACAAAAGGAATCAAAACAGGTAAAGAGGAGATGAAACTATTCCTGTTTGCTGATGACATAATGGTTTACTCAGAAATCCCTAGGACATCAACGAAGATACTAATCGAGACAATAACTTCAGCAAACTTACAGGCTATAATATAAATCCTCAAAAATCAACAGAATTTCTATGTAATAATCAACAAATCACAAGATGCTAAAACAGAAAGGGAAATTCCATTCCAAATAACTACAAAATGCATAAAATATCTGGGGATTCACCTCCCAAAACACACAAAAGACTTGTATAGATTAAATTACAAAGTGCTCCTTAAAGAAATAAAGAACAACCTAAATAGCTAAAGGTATATTCAGTGATCACGGTTAAGCTGTGAGAATATACTAAAAGACAATACTATGAAAATCAATGTACACTTCTAAATGTCATGCCAATCAAATTACCAAGGGAATACTTTATAGAACTTAATAAAATAAGAACGGATTTCATTTGGAAAAACAAAAGATCTAGAATAATAAGGGAAATGGTGAAAAGAAGTAAGGACAAAGGGGTGTAGCACTTCCAGACCTAAAGCTACACTATAAAGTAGCAGTTGTCAAAACCATTTGATATTGATTATAGAGAGATAGAGCAATGAAACAGACTAGACAAAGGAGATTCAGTGAACAATAGGACTCAGTAACCCAGTATTTGATAAAGTGGAAAACATACTAGCTAGGGAAAAACTCCTTATTAGATAAAAACTGGTGGGAACACTGGAAAGCAGTCTGGCAGAAATTAGGCTTAGACCAACACCTTACACCATACTCCACAATGCATTCTAAATGGATACATGACCTTAATATTATACATTATATTATTTTTTTTTTAAATCACCTTAGGAGAGAAACAGATCATATAGTTCTCATAGCTATGGGTAGGAGGTGTATTCTTTTTTTTTGGCTAGGCAATGGGTTTAAGTGACTTGCCCAGGGTCACACAGCTAGTAAGCGTCAAGTGTCTGAGGCCGGATTTGAACTCAGGTCCTCCTGACTCCAGGGCTGGTGCTCCATCCACTGCGACACCTAGCTACCCCTAAGGGGAGTGTATTCTTAATCAATCAAGAGATAGAGACAATTACAAAAGATAAAATAGATAATTTTTAATTGTTGAAACTGAAAAGTTTCTGCACAGACAACATTAATGCATCTAGGATAAGAAATGAAGTATTGTGTGTGTGCATACATATATGTGTGTGTATGCATACAAATAATAGCCATTCCTCAACAGGTAAATGATCGAAGGATGTGAACAAAGTACATAAAAGAACTGCAAAACAACCACACAAAAAAATTGCTCCAAACCACTGAGAAATCAAAACAGTAATAAGCAATTGGAAAGTAATTTGGAATTATGCAAATAAAGTGACTGAAATGTCTCCATTACTGGTTTATACCCCAAAGAACCCATAGATAAGGGGGAAAAAAAGGCCACATATACGCCAAAATATTTAAAGCAGCACTGTTTGTGCTAAGAATTAGAAACAAAGTAGATATCCATTAATTGGGGAATGGTGAAACAAATTGTGGTATATGAATGAAACTGAATATTACTGTACTATAAGAAATGATGTGTGTGATAAATACAGAGAAGCATTGATCTCTATGAACTGATAAAGAGTGAAGTAAACAGAGCCGAGAAAACAATATACATGAGTACAACAGAGTAAATGGAAAGAACACCACCCTCCAAAATCAAAAGTAAATGTAATCAAATTATAAATATCAAACATGAGATATGAGAAGGCACACTCCCAACCCACTGCTTTGTGAAGGTGGGAAGCCCATGGGTGTTATACACTGTATATGTTTTTGGACTTTTTTAATTTATCAGTTGTGCTGCCTTCTTTTTTCTCTCCAAAAAATACTATTTATCATATGGGATGGCTCTCTGTAAAGGGGAAGAGGAAGGACACATGGGTATGGTAATGTAAAAAACAGAACATATCAATAAAATTTATTTTAAAAATAAATACTTGATGATAATGATGGACTGCCAGGTCAGTAGTATTTTTCACCACAATCCTTTGGGACTCTGGTAATCACATTAATCAAAGTTTTCATGTCTCTCAAAGTTGTTTTTCTTTATAATGTTATTGTTATTGTATAAATTATTCTTCTAATTCTGTTCACTTCATTATGCATTAATTCATGTATCTTCCTAGGTTTGCCTTTCATTGTTTATGGCACAATAATATTCCATTACATTCATATACCATAATTTATTCTCCATCTGATGGGTACTCCCTTAGTTTCCAGTTACTTGTCATATACAAAGAGCTGCTATAAATATTTTTTGTATATATGAGTCATTTTCCTCTTTCTTTGATCTTTTTGGGGTATAAGCACATTAAAGGTATCGCCAGGTCAATGGGTACATAGAGTTTAGTGATTATTTTTGAATATAGTTCCTAATGACTCCCATAGTGGCTGGACTAGTTTATATCTCTACCATCAGTGCATCAATATACCTGTTTTCCCCCAGCCCTGACAACAGTTGTCATTTCCTACCCACTCCCCTTTTCTGGGATCATCTTTGCCAATCTGATAGGTATGAAGTAGAAACTTGGAGTAGTTTTAATTTCCTGGGAAGATGAAATTTGATAGAGACAAACATAAAGTTCTGTGTTTGTGTTTTTAAAAAAAATAGTTTTGCAAATACAAATGGGAGAGGTATAACTACACAATAACTCAGGTAAAGAAATTGAGATACAGGGCAGCAAGGTGGCGCAATGGACAGAGCACCGTCCCTGGAGTCAAGAGGACCTGAGTTCAAATGTGACCTCAGACACATGATACTCACTAACTGTGTGACCCTGGGAAGTCACTTATCCCTGATTGCCTTGCCAAAAAAAAAAGAAAGAAAGAAAGAAAAGAGATTCTAGTGGACTTCTGAGTCAATTTCAATCAGTGGTACAACATATTAGTCCCAAAATTTCAGAATTGGGCTGAATTAAGAAAGGTGGCATCCAGAACACAACAGGCCCATTTCTGCTCTTTTCATGCCACATCTGGAGTATCATGTTGAGTTCTAAGCACCACATTTTAACCATACACGACAAGGATGGTGACCTCAAAACCATGACATACAAGGATTGTGGTGTAGAGGAAGGAGCACTGGATTTAGTCAGAGGCTGAGGCAATGTAAAGAGTTCAGGATCTGGAGTCAGAGGTTCACATCCCTGCTCAGCCACTTACTATCTGTGTGACCCTGGACAAGTCACTTAACTTTTAGACTCCAAATTCCTCATCTGTAAAATGAGGGTGTTGGACTAGATGACATCCAGGATCTCAATCCAGGATCCTGTGACCCTGGTTCAACTAGTTTTGCCAGTTGGGTTGCTAGCTGTGTAACTTTGGGTTTGTCAATTCATCTTTCCTGAGCCTCAGTTTCCTCAGCTATAAAGTGAGGTTTGGACTAGATGACTAAAGTCCTAAGGTCTCTTCTAGCTCTAAATCAGTCAGTCAACACACATTAAGCACCTACTATGTGCCAGGCACTGTGCTAAGTGCTAGGGATACAATAAAAGGTGGGCAAAAGACAGTCCCTGCTCTCAAGGAGCTAAACCTGAGTAGGATTCCCATACAGATTGGACTGAGTGGCTTCTTAAGCCCCTTCCCACTCTCAGATTCTGTCATCAGCCCCATTTTCAGAGCACTGAAGTGTCCTGCCCACCATCACACCGTAAACCACTATCAGATTGGCTATAGAAGCCCAAGGCTCTCCTGACTCCAAATTTCATGTTTTTCCCCAGCATATGTTGTCCCTGAGGGACTGTGTTTGGGGGGAGGGAGGGAGGAACGTTTGTTCTGTGTCTTTCTGGGCTCTGCCAGAGATGGGTCCACTTAATACGACTATTTCTCACCTTGCTTGTTTGTTCTTTCTGTCCAGGTGGAAGATGACTTTGTGTTTGACAAAGAGGAAGTGAACTTTTGGGCTGAGACGCTAACCTACGTCAGCCACCTGGTCAAGCACTTGTCTCCTCTGTGTAAGAAAAGTTGGCCTTCCCAGGATCCCCAGGAGCTCAGTCGGCTGAGAAAAGCAGCATCCCAGCAGTACCAGCACCTATCACAGCTATCCAAAGAGCTGCCCCCAACTCCTGAATTTTCTAAGACTACTGACCATACAAGACTTCGCATCCAGAAGGAAAGAACATTAGCTTGCCTGAAGTTGCTCGACTTTCTTGAAGGGAAGGAGGAGAACCCCACACCTGGGCTATTGAACTTACCCCATCTCTGGTCATTTAATTCTACAGAGAACAAAGCCTAAATCTACCGAGTGATGTGGGAAAGAGATGTGTTGTAGAGTTGGGGAATTATTTTCCTGCACTGAATACACTGGAAATGTTAACCTAAATTAAAAATCCTTTTGTTCACTGTGTGCCCTCTGCCCCAGCGAGGGGGACCGAGCGCCCCTTCTTACAGAAGGATCTTTCTTCTTAATACATTGACTCAGTTCTTGCAAGCCAGCCAAGTTTATTGCAGCTACCATTGGAGGTGGAGCCCTTAAACGTGAGATTTACCTTCCTCCCAGGTGCAGGCCACCTGCAGGCCTGAATTAGCTATGTTTTTCCCTACTCTAGCTTAACCCTGTCTGCATTCCCCTTCAGCTCTCATGTTTTTAACGTGATTTAAAAGGGGAGGGAAAAAAACTCATTCAGATTCTTTGATCAGATTCTAAATTTTATTCATTTTAGTAAAGAAGGAAATACATTCCAAATGTTTCCATTTTTTAAAATCTGAGTGAATTAAAGAGCAACTTCATACAGATAATTTGATTGTGTTAAGAGACCTGCAGTGACCTATAATTTAAAAATTGTATTTTGTCCCAAGTCATTAAAAGAGCCTTATGGTATTTCTTAGTCTCCCCCCACCTCCCAAGGTGTTTGATCAAAAGCAGTCATAGAAGTAGTCTGCAAAGAAATTAGCAGCAGTCCCCCGAAGCTCTTAGAAAGGGTCTTGGGGGAAGAAGGTCCCGGCTTTGAGAATGGTTATTGCCTTAAAAAAACACACACATACACACACATTCTCTCTCCCCCCAAACCATGCATTTGAATGCTATAAACTGGAGACTTCTAAGAATTTCCTGATGCCTCCCAGAACACCCAGGAGGTGGCACCCTCGCATGGCTTTTGCTAGAGAACTCTGAAATAGGGCAAACTTCCTAGTCTTTTTCCCTTTAATTTACAACTTCTGAAGAGTCACAGATTCAGTTATTTCAATATTAAGCAATCCAGGATGCGTTTTAACAGCAACCAGATTCACTCTTCAGTTCAAGCCATTCAAGAAAGCCACTTTTTAGTCTGTGTGTGAAAATGCATAGATACTTCATTAGTATCTGGCAAATACATGTTTAATAATGCCTTCTTAAGAGATCAATTAAAGTTATTTTAATGGTTTGTCAAGGTCTGAAGGGTATTTGTGGGAATGAAAGTGTTTGAAATACTTATTTCCTTTGCTGGAGAGTAAAAGTTGAATATTTAATAGCATGGGGTGGGGGGGAACCTGTGATGTCCAGGGACACTTATCACATCAAGAATTCCTATGTATCTTAAAGGCTTAGGGAGATGACTGAGTCAGTGACTTGCCCATGGTCACAAAGCTAGTTCAAGTCACAGTCAAGACTGGCCCTCGTAGTTTGTATTTTTGAGACACAAAAAGGCAGCACAACATAATGGAGAGAACACTGGCAGGAACCCTGAGACTTGGGTTCTAGTCCCGACCCTGTTCGGGGTTTTGATGGCTAAATGAAAAATATTCCCCTTTAGATAACCTGATAAGCCTTTTCCAACCTAGATAGGATGGTTCTTAGACAAAAAGTGAGCAATCTGACTCCACCCTGGACACTGAGACTTTCCAGCTTGGCCTACCAAAACTGGCATTCCCCTAGCACAGCCTTTGAGAACCCAAGGTCACCTCTCTGCATGAGCAGGACTTTGACGGAGAGTTATTAGTATTATTATTATTATTATTCACAAGCCCATCTGCTTCCAGCCACGTGGTTCTAGTGTCCTTTTGGTGGAAGGAAAATTGGATTTGGTCTGAAGACTTCCACTGGGGCCATTCTGGGACGTGGTCGTTAATCTGTAAAATAAAGTACTCGGTCTTGATTTTAAAGATCCCTTCCAGTTCGAAAAGTTTGTAAAGTGGGTGTCCTCTCCACCTGCACCCACCCACCAGAGCTTTGAGATTCACGGGATTAGACCTAGATATCTCAGAGATCGTACAACTTCATTTAACAAATTAAGGAGGCCAGGATTAAGTGCAATGACTTGCCCAAGATCATAACTAATTTCACAGACTTCAGTCACCTCATGCTCTCTTCTCGCCGCCGCACTTACTGCCATGGGCTACCTCTAACTTTAATGCCAGGGCAAGCATGGTATGATAGACCCAACCTCCTGCTGGGCACTTAGCAAGCCTTAATAAATGCTCATTTACTCAAGTGACTGGGAGGAAGGAAAGGAGGGAGGTGAAGATGGCAGGGGAACGGAGAGCCACCACAGACTGTCTTGGCACCAATCTCTGCTGCGCCGTAACTTGCCCACGGGAGGAGCCACGCGACTTTGACCAAAGCAAAGCCGACAATCCAGGGACTCGGAGCCACAGGATCCTAAACAGACAGTCGCGTTTGACCCGGCTGCCGCGGGCTCAGAACCCCGACTTCGCCGGCGTGGCTAGACAAAGCTAAAGCGCTCGTGGGCGGGGCGTCCCTACCCCAGGCCCCTGATTGGGAGCCCCTAACAGAGTGAACCCCGGGAAGGTGGGGGAGTAAAACGCTCCCCAGCTGTAGCCGGGAGGAGCGCTAGAGGGGGCTGTCTCCCCGGGAAAAGGGGACAAAACTTTGGGCTCCCCGATTTTGCCACCGCAGCCCAGGCTGGCGGAAGGCGGGCGTGGCAAGCGGGTGGGCGTGAAACTGACACCGTGGTCTATTACCCCCCGGATCCCAGACAACAAGAGGGTTGCAAGCACAGGAACCCGGGAAGCTGGGGGGCGCGTCAGGCAGAGGCGGCCAGTGTCCACTTCTCCCCTGACCGCAGGAGACTTTAGAAGAGGAGGAGAAGAGCCATTGCCCCCACAGACCTGCCCCCCTCACCCCGGCCTCGGCTCGGGCTCCTCCGCCCGGGACGGCCCGCGCCACTCACTGCGCCTTTGGCCCCGGCTCAAGGTCTTGTGATGTGATTAGCAAGCCAGCTCCTTGTCCTCTGACACACAGCCCCGCCCCGGCCCGCTCGGGCCCTGTTTACCAGGCCCCGGCTGGGGGTGGCGGGGCGGAGCCTGGAGGACCCGGGCTTTTCCAGTCCTACCCAGCCCCACGCCCCCTCCACCCCTAAGAGCAGGCGCACTTCCCTCAGGGCCTGGAGGAAGCCCCTGCCGCCGCCTCCACGTGTTAGATCCTCCCTGGGGGGCTGCGGAGCCGGGACCTCAAGTTTCCAAGTCTTCGTTTGGGGGTTGAGACATGCTGCAACCCCTGTGCGCCCCCCCCCATTCCTATCCGTTCGGCTCCCTGTACTTTGCAAAGTAGACAAGGGTAACATGGAAGGTTGCAATATTCTAGCATTTTGCCTGCCCCCGGCCATTATAGATCTAGTATTAGTGCTGAGGACAGAGAGTGAATAACCCAGCCCCCGGGGTGTGGGCAGCCTCCAAGGCTGCTCACCCTGAGCCACGTTTAAAAGTCCCCGGGCTCAACAACGCACGAGGCCCGGGAGGTGGAGAGCCGAAACTTGTTACGCCCCACATGGCTCGGAAGGCTCAGCTTCTCCCCCGCGGCTGGGCGCTCGGCCCGCCTCCCCGTCCTCCCTCCCTTTCCCTGGCCCGCCCAGCTGTGCCGGGGCCACCCCTCCGACTCCCCCGCCCGCCGGGCTCCAAAAAAAAAAATAGAAAGAAAATTGGCGGCAGCCTATGGGAGCACTCGAAGTCCCATGACGTCGGTGGGAGCCGGCTGGGTGGTGTTGCCTAGAGACCCCGGCAGGGTCAGCGTTCTGTCCCCTCCCCCGGCCCGCTCCGTCGTCTATATAGGGCGAGGGCTCGCCGGGCACAGAGTTCCAGCAGTCCGCTTGCTGTGCCCTCAGCTCCGGAGAAGTGGGTGTTTTTGGGGGGGCGGGGGGAGGGAAGAGGGAAGAAAGAGGAGAGGCTTTTAAAAGCAGATTTTTTTTCTTTTGACCTCGGACTCCTAAGAACTCCAAAGCTTGACCTCGGTTACGCAGTCTCTCCACCCTCTACAAACTTTCTTTTCCCCCTCTCACCCACCCTTACTCCTCGCCCGCCAGCCGTCGTGGCTCATCCCAAGCCCTGCTGGACAGCGGGGTGCTTGGGTTCCTCCTGCATCTGCGACTATCACAGGACCTAGAAACATGTCGACCACACTTTTGTCTGCCTTTTATGACATCGACTTCTTTTGCAAGGTAGGCGAGAGGGCAGGGAGGGAGCCAGAAAGCCCTTTAAGTTTTGAAACTTTTTCTCGTACTGTTTTTGGGGAGAGGTTGGGGGTGGTGATCCTACCCCACCTTGGTTGCCCTGTTGGGTCAGTTCTCGGAGTTTGCAAAGTGTTTTAGTTGCCGGGAGGAGGAGGGGCGGGGACGGAGAAGGAAGGCGAGGCATAACTGCTCCCAGGGCTTGTGCATTCAGCCCAGCCTGGGACCAGGTTTATTCGCCTTGTGTTTACAGGGGCAGTGTTTGCACAGCCCCGGCTGCTCCTCCGCCTTCGCCCCCAGGAATGGGGGGGGGGGGGGGGTGTCCGTGGGTTTGCAAAAGGACGAGAAAGGCCCAGGAAATGGAGCTACAGCGATGGGGCAGCATGCTTGAAGCTAAGAGCGGGCATGGTGGGGGAGGGAGAATCAATGCAAACTTTTTTCATTTTGTCTCTGTACGGGAACGATAAACTGAAAGTTGGGGGGGGGACCCACAGACCTTAAGTCTCGAAGTTATTCTGCAACTACCCTCCCTTCTTCCTGCTCTTACCCTGCCCCCCCACCTCCTTGAAATTGTCGTCTTCCATGCCTCCTCCCGTTTTTTCATCTCCCCCTCCTCCCCTCCCTTTAGCAGACGGAGAAATCCCTGACCAACCTCAATCTGAACAGTATGCTGGACAAGAAGGCTGTGGGGACCCCCGTGACCACCTCCCCCACCTCAAGCTTCACGCCGGGATTTCTCCGAAGGCATTCCACCAGCAACCTGCAGGCCCTTGCCCACCCTTCCTCGAGCCCGGCCACGGGTCCCGGCAACTGCTCCCCCAAGTTCACTGGCGGCAACAGCTGCAACAGTTCGAGCGGCTCGGGCTCGTACAGTAACCTCAAGGAGCCGTCGGGGGGGAGGTGGCAGTGGCAGCACCACTGCCCTGCTCAACAAGGAAAATAAATTCCGGGACCGCTCCTTCAGCGAGAACGGTGACCGCAGCCAGCATCTCATGCAGCTGCAGCAGCAGCAGCAGAAGTCGGGCGGCGGCTCCCAGATCAACTCCACGCGCTACAAAACGGAGCTGTGCCGCCCCTTCGAGGAGAGCGGCACCTGCAAGTATGGGGAGAAGTGTCAGTTCGCCCACGGCTTCCACGAACTGCGGAGCCTGACCCGACACCCCAAATACAAGACGGAGCTGTGCCGCACCTTCCACACCATAGGCTTCTGCCCCTATGGGCCCCGCTGCCACTTCATCCACAACGCCGAGGAGCGCCGCCCCTCGCCGTCCGGGGGCGCGGGCGGCAGCGGGGGCGACCTCCGAGCCTTCAGCCCCCGAGACGCCCTGCACTTGGGCTTTCCGGGGCACCCTCGGGAGTCGAGGCCCAAGCTGCACCACAGTCTCAGCTTCTCGGGCTTCTCCTCGGCGCACCACCAGCACCCGGGCGGCCTGGAGTCGCCCCTCCTCGAGAGTCCCACGTCGAGGACCCCGCCGCCGGCCTCGTCCTGCTCTTCCTCCGCCGCTTCGTCCTCCTCGTCCTGCTCCTCCTCCGCGTCCTCCTCGTCCTGCTCCTCCTCTGCGTCCTCCTCGTCCTCTTCCTCGGCCGCCGCCCCCTCCTGCTGTTCCCCGACGGCAGCTGCAGCTGCGGCGGCGGCGGCGGCGCTGCTGTACGGGGCAGGCGGCGGCGGCGAGGACTTGCTCTCCCCTGCCCCATGCGCCGCCTGCGCCAATAACGCCTTTGCCCCCTTCTCGGGCCAGGAGCTCAGCAACCTCATCACGCCCCTCGCCATTCACACACACAACTTCGCCGTGGCCGCCGCCTATTACCGCAGCCAGCAGCAGCCGCAGCAGCCGCCCACCGCCCCCCACCCGACGGCTGCAGCCGCCGCCGCCGCTGCTGCAGCCGCTGCCGCCGTGGCCGCCGGCGCCCCGGCCTCCCCCCCTTTCAGCTTCCAGCCCCTGCGCCGCCTGTCCGAGTCGCCCGTGTTCGACGCGCCCCCC